AACAAAGATACACATTTGGTATCAAAACACATGACAAACCAGGACATTATTTGCAGCATAGGACAGATAGAGAACTGTTAACAATTTCCTTAACATACAAAGTTTCTATAAATCAGTAAGGAAAAGATTAACAACCTGTCACAAAACGGGAGTGGATGTGATTAGATAATCCACAGTAAAAGAAATATAGATGATTTTTAACCATATAACAAGATGCCCAACCCCACTTGAGATAAGAAAAACAGTCATTTACATGTTACTGAAATGTACATTGCATATTACTGGGGAAGGCAGTTTGGAATTGATCTGCCCTCATATGTGTTTTCAGACCATTGAGCACAGATATTTGTGTATTTGTTTCATTTATATTTGTATTAGCAAAAAATTGAATATAATCTAAACATCTATCAATAGTAGACTAGTTAAATTATGGTATATCTGTATAATGGAATATTATGCCATTATTTAAAAATGAAGCAGTTCTATAATTACTGATATGGAATAAATCACAAGATCAAAGGTACAGTTAAGTAGGAAGAAGTAAGGTTCAAACTTTGTGTTTCCTACTTCTATTTGTACAATTATCTTTATAGCTTTTGCTAATTATAAAAATACAGAGTCCTGAAATTTTTTAAATTGAATAATACTGAAAATTATGAAAGAGGAATTGAAAATCATCTTTCTTGTCACTCATGTTAATATTTTGATGTGCAGCCTTCCAGGCCTTATTTGAACATTTACATATAACTAAGCAATATCTTTTAAAAGATGGGATCATGCTATATATGTTGTCTTTGAAATTTGCAGTCTTCAATTAGTTATATTATGGACTTTTTTCCACATCAGTAAATACAGATTTATAGCATCATTTTAAATGGATGCTTGTTATTCCATTGTACGAATGTGTAATAATTTATTTGACTGATTTCTTATTGTTGAACATTCAGATTGTGTCAGCTTCTCATGCTTACAAATAGTGCTATAGTGAACATTCTTGCCTGTATGTGAGTGAGTGTATGCCAAGTAGAGTAATGGGTGTTGGAATGTTTTGCCGTACTTAGCTTTAAACCAGGTAGGTTCTGTTGTTGATTTGAGTGGTTTTGACCCTCAAATAAATATTCCATCGGTGATGGGAACATTCACAAATGCTTTCTTAAATTAGCTCTTATTTCAGGACCTTGATGCTAGTATAGTTGATTGCCGGTTTCTCAACCAATAAGACTTGCATTTGAATCCCAGCCCTACTGCTTTCTTCTGGGGTTTTGAGAAGTTGCTTCACATCCCTAAGCCTTGGTTTACTAATCTAATAAAGGAGAAAATAATATATTTTTCATAGAAGTGTGGTGAAATTTAAATGTAGTAACATAGAGGTGGCATTTAACTTCCTGTCTGTCTCTATTGGTGATTTGGGGCATACAGATTAATTCATAATACCAAGTTGTTATTCATTGTGATCCATTTGCTGAACTGAGAATGAATATAGAGGTAACTAAGATCTTAAACCATAAAGTCCTATTTCTGGATCGTAGTACAGTTGACCATTTAATTTATTATTTAAACATGGACTCTATTCATAGTGCTAAACTTTCAGTCTGGGCAGACATAAGCTGAGATTCTCCAAGGCAAACTGACATATATGGTCACCCTAGCCATAGTTCACAGTTCTCTAACTGATGATTCACAGAATTTCACATAGTTGATTCCCTGCGTTTTTATACTTGGAGGATGCTAAGGTGTTCGGGGAAGGTATAGGGGATGTTGAAGGTGGACCAGATTTATGCCTGGGATAGGTTTCGAAAGCCTGACTGCTGTAAGAAGGGCAGTTACCTGCAGCTGGGAGAAGTTGCCAGCATCAAACAGATACTCTTTCAGACACAAATGTGTGGTTGCTGCCAGGCTTAGCAGTATGGAAGGTTTCAAAAAATACTTACATAATAACATTTTTTGTTCACCAACATTTCATATTACAGAATGGTCTCTGGTTGCTTTCTTTTTTTTAAGTTGATCCAAGAAACAGATAACTGAAAATAATTCATTGATAATATTTTAACTTGCCTTTTCAAAATAACCAGCAACTATTTATTAATATTTGAAACACTTAAAAGTAGGGCCAAAATTAATATGTCCTGTTCGTATCTAAAATATGCATAACATATGCAGCTTTTAAAACATAATAAATAGTTGTTGGTGTTAATTATGAAGAGTGACATTTACCTCAAACTATTGATCTAATACTAAATCCTTCTAAAACAAATATTCAGAGCTAATTATAGTACAGATTGAAAAGTTTCATTATGAATTCCAATAATATGAATGATTATATTTATAAAATAGCTAGCTTTGCTAAACAATATTTAGGGGTTTTTAATTCCTGAATTATTGTGACATTTCCCTTGTAAATTTTCACCTGCCCTTTATTCTCCTTTGTTTATTTTGAGAGAGTTCAGAACAAGATCATAAATAGGCATTTTTAACTATTTGAATAGATAATTGTGTAATTTACTTTTAGGGAGAAATCACACAGATTGAAAAGGAGTACCAACTATTACAAGAGCAGCTTAAAGAAGCATGTGAAAATTATGAGCAGATAAAACTTAAGAGCTCGGAAGAGACCAGGGACCTGGAAGAAAAGTTGAAAAGGAACTTAGAAGAAAACAAGGTAATCCTGTCTCAGACCTCTCTTTAAGTGCAGGTGGTATAGTTAGGAGAATATAACTGTGCTTAGGGAGCTTCAGTTAGCTTAAACGTCTGCATTGTTGGCTAAACAGAGGATTCTTTCACAAAATTACCAGCTTCAAATGTCTCTATGACATATTAAAATGAGTGTTTCTTGCAGTGTTTTAGAACCTCTACAAGTTGTGGTATTAGAAAAGGGCCGTAAATCTAGGTTTTCATTTATGTACAATTCAGTATGCTTGGCTAACTAAAACTCTACTTTATGGTGACTGCATTCTCAGGTAAATTCTCATATTGAGAAGCAGCATAGCTTGAGAGGTTCAGAGTATGCCCCTGGGGACTGGCCAGCTTCAGATCCAGGCTCGGTTTTATACTAATTCTAATCTTGGGCAAGCTGCTTAACTTCTCTGTGCTTTAGTTGCTTATCTGGAAAATTTGGGCAACAATAGCTCCCATTTCAGGGGATTAGATTAATACTTGTGAAGTACTTAAAACTGCCTGGTACATAGTAAGGACTATCAGTATTGGTTGCCACTGTTAACTACTGCTGCTCTTATTGCCATCATCTTCGTCTTACTCCTAAGGAAGTATAAGAATAACACGGGCAGCCTTCGCCATATCAGAACTGTGAAGTTACCCAGAGTGTCTTGTCTGAGTCTGCTGACCTTGAATTCTGTTAGCTAAGATGGATCATCAGGCACATGTAGGCTGGGGGAGGGGTACCAATTAGGGGCAAGGCCAGATCGAATTAGTAGGAGAATGGAATTATAGTAGATGTTAAGAAATCATGGTGTGTTTAATTTTAAAAGCTACTATCAGGCCAGGCGAAATGGCTCACGCCTGTAATCCTAGCACTCTGGGAGGCCGAGGCGGGAGGATTGTTTGAGCTCAGGAGTTCGAGACCAGCCTGAGCAAGAGCGAGACTCCGTCTCTACTATAAATAGAAAGAAATTAGCCAAACAACTAAAAATAGAAAAAAATTAGCCGGGCACGGTGGTGCGTGCCTGTAGTCCCAGCTACCCGGGAGGCTGAGGCAAGAGGATCACTTGAGCCCAGGAGTTTGAGGTTGCTGTGAGCTAGGCTGATGCCACGGCACTCTAGCCCAGGCAACAGAGTGAGACTCTGTCTCAAAAAAAAAAAAATAAAAGCTACTATCTTCTGTTCAGAGAGGTAACAAAAGGATATTAATCCATTTAAGAAAGGAAGAATTTGTTCCAGAAGTCTGGATTAGTAACTGGGGTAATATATTAAAATAGAAGAAAATTAGCTTAGTGAGACCTTAATCAGGAAAGTCATTTACTGAGATTTACCCAGAAGAAAAGGGGCAGTTTGTAAAGGTAACTGTCGTAACATTCCCCAGGACCTGTTCATATTAGGATGAACCTGGGGAGATTCGAAGGATAAGAAGAATTAGGTGGAACTGAGAATTTTGCTCAGTTGCCTGGTTCGGAGAAGGAAAATAAAGAACAAAAGTAAAACCCTACATATTAATAGCAGAGAGACACATGGAACACAAGTTTGAATAAGCTACTTAGGAGGTTTAACAAAATAAAATATTTTTATAAACTTTGTATTACCTTGGGAAAATTCACTTTTAATCAATCCATATGGGAATGCCTGTGGCTGCCTGTTTGAGTGATGAGGGCAGATTGGGGACACAGTCACTTGGCATTCGGTGAGTGAAGTTTATGTCTGGCAAAGGCTTGCCCAGCTTTATAATTGCTGGTCTGACGGGGTGCTATATTGTACAGTTCATCACGGCTCCTTTCCTTGTACAGTTAGTCAAGAAGCATCTAGGAAATAAAGCCCCCTGAGGGGAGGGCTGTGAGAAAGCCGCATCTCCGGCTGAGGGGCTCTGGCTCTTGGGCTTCTTAACAGATTAAGGCTTCGTGTGGCCCTGCCCAAGAGTAATCAGTCTTAAAGGGCTATTATTTAGCCCCCCACATTATAGGCCTGCTAGGTGATTAGACTTCCTGTGTAAAACGCACGCCTGTTTCCTACAGGATAAATTGCCAGGCTGAGGTCCTTAGGTTGGCGTCCACATCATTAATCACGATTGTGCTCATAGCGTATGGAGAAATTTTTTTATAAACATAAAAAGTTTGTGGCTTTTAGTGCTCTTTCCCTTGGCCTTTGACTGTAAATCACTGAAGTTGTGAGTTTTTACCTTTTACTTCACAGGTTTTTGATACCCCATTTGGATATAGTTAGAAGATGCATGCCCTCACCCCGTTACAGAGAACAGAAGAATTGGCAATTAATCAGGTCTCGGCGCTCAGGCATTGGCATCAGACTACCGGTGCCTCACCCCAGCGCCCCCGGGATGGCTTTGTGACCTTCGACAATTCCTTCAGCCTCTTTGACCCCCAGTCTCCTCAATAATGATGTAATCTCTACTTCATAGCTTCGCGAAGCCTCACTGCGGGGCTGGAAATGATGGGATGCCCAGGGACAGTAACAGTACTCACGGAGGAACTGTCCCACCCAAAGCACTGCTCATGCCCCCGTTGAGAAAACCAGTGTTTTACAAAGCACTTTAAGAGTGCTTAGGCTATATTAAGCATCAAAAAAAAAAAAAAAAAGTCTGAACTAGGTATTATATATAGCTGATGGGGTTTTATTATCATGAGCTAGGAATGCCTCAATTGATAATTTGGCCTGTTATCTATTCTTTGCCAGAGAAAAATAGCTATTCTGAAGTTTTTAATGTACCCTAGGCAGGTTATAACTGGTTGTGGTATTGCTCAAGGATATAGGTTCTTTTTTGTTTGATTGAGACAAAATTCACATAACATAAAATCTGCTATTTTAACCATTATAAAGTTATACAATTTAGTGGTTTTTTTGTAGGTTCACATTATTGTGTAACCATTACTACCGTCTAATTCCAGAAAGCTTTCATCACCCCAAAAAAGAAAGCTCATATTCATTATTTGGTCACTCCCTATCTGCTCAGGACATGTTATTAAGATGCTTTAATGAGACTTTCTTATAGCTAAGATAGGTATTTAGTTGACATTGGCTCTTAAAACACTGCCAAATTATTTGGGCCAGAATAATTTACAGGGTAGAATTTTGGACCTTTGTGCTCTTTCTATATTAGAAGAGAATCTTGGCCCTTCCCGCATAAAGTTTCTCAGCCTACGTCTCTGCAGAGGGGGGGATTCTCCTATTCAGTCAGGGGTCCTTGCCAGGTCCCGCCTTTTTTCAGTCTAACAGTTACGGAGCTCATATTATGTTCCATACTCAGCTGCTAATTTCTACATGTATTTAATCTCAGACAGTCCCAGTATATTGTGTTACAGTGTAGCCCTCTAGCATTCTCTCTATTTTACCAGTGAGGAAATGGAGGTAGGAGCAGTTACTGCATCTTGCTCCAGGTCACACCAGTGCTAAGTGGCAGAACAGGTCGTGAGCATCAGACTCCAGGTCCCTTGTATTTGTTCTCTTCAGAGAAGGTCACTTCCACAGCCAGTTCAGTAACTGTTAAAAACATTTCCCAGCACTTTGCTAGCAGTGTAGGTGCGTCAGTTACTTACTGTCAAAATGCTGATTTCATTGAGAAAAAGATCATCAGAAAGTATTTATAGTTATATCAATAAACTGTGCTTATAGAGGATACAGTTGTGTATAACCTGTTTTTTCTTGTCTTCTAAGGTTTGAAAGAAAAGAATTCAGGAGATTATTCTCTTCCATGCGGTCAGAGACAAGCTTATGGTAGCTGACCTGGTTAGCATTGTGAGGCAGCTATGTCACTAAAGGGTGGTTAGTACAAACAGCAGATGAACTCATGTAGCGTTTTCACTGACTGACTTGTATGTGTGTCTGTGTGCACACGTGTTTGTAATACTTTGTGCTTTTTGATACCTGAACTCCTTCAGGTACTTGTTGCCAAGTAGGTTCTTATGACCCAGCATAATCTTTTGGTTGCAGGTAATCTCCCAGCCAAAGGGCTAGATCTAAAGTGAGATCATTGGCCCGGAATGGAACCATGAGATAGGCGAGAATCAAGGTTGGCTTGGCTGCCAGCAGCAAGGCATGTGAACTGACATTGGTTTTGCTAGTTTAACCGAACCAGGTAGAATAAAGGATTTTGTGAGGTAGAGTGAGCTTGGTGGTCAACCCAGTCACAGTAAGACTTTACAAATTCAGAGTCAGCAAGGTTGCAGCAAAGAAAATGGGAGCAGACTGGTCCCCAGGCTAAAGGGAATGACACTGAGCCTAGGAACAGTTGGCCTGCACATTTCACAGCCACCAGCGTCAACCTTACCCTTGCTGTAAGATTTGGAAGTCTGGTTAGCAAATCTGCCTCCCGGAAACACAGACAACCTTGGTGTCTAAGGCTGAAGAGGAAGCAAAGGCCTCTAAGTTGATAGAGCTTTTGACTTGAGGGCCATTATTTCCCAAAAAGTCCATGTAGGTTGACTTTTAGGGTCCTTTATGAGGGAGAAGTCCCTGTGTTTCTATAGCCAAGCCCTTGTCCTCAGTGACCTAGGCATATTCTAAGCCTAAGCAGGAAGTTCAGGCTCCATGGAACATGATAGGAAGTGAAAACTTAAAAGTGTCCCTAAAGCAAATATGAAGTTAAGATTTCATCAAGCAGTCACTGACAATAGTAGAATTTCAAACTGGAAAATATTTAACATGTTTCTTTTAGTTGTTTATTTTAAATACTGTTTTGATTCTCTAATTTACATTTAAATTATTAGAAAATTAACATGGAGAATATTTTACTTACAAATGACTGGTATTTATAAGCATGTGCCCCACCCAAAGCCCTTGCTTCCATTGAATGGATATTTCAGAAATTAGAAAACTTTTAGAGAATTTGCAGATTGAGAAGTTTCAAAAAGCAGCAACTACATACATAAGAAGCTGACAGATGGCCGGGTATCAAGTGCTGGTGTTCCTAACCTTCCAGGGGAACGGTAACTAGCATTGACCTCAGAAGAGATTTTCACTTCTCTTTGTCACACCGCCTGAAGTTCTGGCAGGTTTTGCAAACCAAATGCCTTTAATGACCAGAGGATCACATTTACTTTGCTTTATAAAAGCAAACGAAAACTATTAGACTTGCCAACTAAAACATGGGTCCAGACTACCTCTAAATTAGAGGATCATTTAGGCTGAAGAGTGAAGTGTGGACACTCCTGGGCTCATTGAAGTGTGGGAAGTACCTTACTGTAACCACCCAGGCATGGCCGTGGGGCATAGCCTGCCACAGGGCACCAGCTCTGGAGTGTCTGTTCCACTGAACTCGAGGCATTGTTTATGACACTGTCACAATTCTAGTCTTTCAGGCTCTTTTTTTAAGAAAGTAAATCTTGCCATTGATTCAAGTACTGTCTAACATGTTTTTAGATCTCAAAGACAGAATTAGATTGGTTCCTCCAAGATTTGGAAAGAGAAATTAAAAAGTGGCAACAGGAGAAAAAAGAAATCCAAGAAAGACTAAAAGCACTGAAGAAGAAAATGAAAAAGGTTGCAAATGGCATTGAAATGTAAGTAACAAGTGAAAGGCAATAATTTTGTTTTTTTTGAATATTGCCTCTTTTGGTTATTTTCACATTTTTGATATTTAATTTCAAACTATATTAAGTAAAATAAAAATTTATAGGTACTGTTTTCAGTGTTTTTATCTCATTTTTAAAAGCATCAATTGTCTCACCTGAAACTTTTTCTAAACTTAGCATGCTTTCAGATAAATTACGTAAAAGTGGGAGTAGCATGGGACTGAGAATCCACCAAGAGCCGATTTCCCTCCAGTCAGAACATCGTCCCTTACTGGGAATGTTACCTTTGACCCTCTTTCTTATTGGTAAAATGAGGGGCTGGTCTAGATCTAAGGTTCTTTCCATAAGATTCTGTGACAATTATTTTATTTATAATTACTTTTATCCTGAATCTTTAAATTATTGAAATTTGGTCTTGCAGTGTGAAGGATTTGGTAATACATATAGATCCTGGGCATAACTGTCAGGTGGGCCAGGTGTGTTTTAGGATCCATCCCTAACCTCCCTCTGTTTTTGCACAGTGATATGTCACGTATTTCCTCAGCTTAATCGTCAACTACTGCTGTGTAACAGAACAGCCAGAACTCAGCAGCTTCAGCTGACAGCCGTTTTCTTTGCTCATAATCCTGCAGTATGGGCTGAGTTCAGCCGGGCCACTCTGCTGCTGGTCTTGCCAGTAGTCTCTTGTGTGGCTGAAGTTAACTGGGGGTAGCTGGGGCTGGGCTCAGCTGGGATACTGGGATGGCTCAACCTCACTTTCTCCATGTGGCCTCTCCCTGCGACTCTTACCCATGTGGTCTTTCCGTGCAGTCTCTAGCACTGTAGCCTAACTTCTTATGCGATGGCTAAGAACTCCCAAGGGTGCAGAAGTGGAAGCTGCCAGGCCTCCTGAAGGTTTAGGCCCAGAACTGTCACAGCGTCATTTCTGCCACATATTGTTGCTTAAAACAAGTCGCAGGCTCAGTCTAGATTCAAGAGCATGAATAATGCGAGGGAGACGTGGTTCACTGGGGGCCATGCTACATACTCACCTTTCAAGGGCATTTGTGTTTTTGTCCATGCTCTATGCCGGATGATCAGATGACTTTCATTATGGGTCTTCACAGCATTACATTTGGGCAGTTTTTAGGCAGTCCTTAGATGAAGGAGGAACTAGAAAACACGGCGTTAAAATTTTCACTCCCTGTTTCATGTCATCTTGATTATGTTCATTAGTAGAACATGTTTATGGAAACAGTATCTGTAAAGCTCTTAATATTTGAGCATGTCCAGTCTTAATCATTTTAAGTTATTAAAAATGCAGAAATATTTATTTTTTATGTTCAGTTCAGATATACTATCAAAGTAGACAAGGTAACTACAGGCTGTTAATGATAAATTTTTTTTCTGTACTAGTATAAAAGGGTAACCATTTCTGCTGAGGAATAAGCTTATCGATTTTTTTTCATTTTATTAATATATTTCTTTGCCTTTTCTGTCACAATTTAAAGATAAACTATATGCTTCTCTAAGCTTTTTGCTTTTTGCACATTCCAAATAAATGCTTTAAAGCTAAATTTTTATATTTAGATTTTTAAGTAAAATCTTAAAACTTTCGTGATCTCTTTCTTAGAGAAGCACAAAGGATATGAGGAATGGTTTCTCTGATGTTCCTATGCTTTTGATCACACTTTAGTATTTATTAAGAAATGACGGCCGGGCGCGGTGGCTCACGCCTGTAATCCTAGCACTCTGGAAGGCCGAGGCGGGCGGATTGTTTGAGCTCAGGAGTTTGAAACCAGCCTGAGCAAGAGCGAGACCCCGTCTCTACTAAAAATAGAAAGAAATTAATTGGACAACTAAAAATATATAGAAAAAATTAGCCGGGCATGGTGGTGTATCCCTGTAGTCCCAGCTCCTCGGGAGGCTGAGGCAGGAGGATTGCTTGAGCCCAGGAGTTTGAGGTTGCTGTGAGCTAGGCTGACGCCATGGTGCTCTAGCCGGGGCAACACAGTGAGACTCTGTCTCAAAAAAAAAAAAAAAAAAAAATGACTAGGACAGGATTGGTACAGTGATATAAACCCAGAGGTGAATATGAAAGAAGGCAGGGACTCCATGAGAGAGCCGACCCAGTATCGAGTATTTGGAGGAGGGAGGAAGTATTTTGCAAAGGAAGTGAAATGATAGTTAAACTTCCTTTTATTGGAAACTTGGGGATTTTGGTAAGTAGAGGTGACAGAAAAGGTGTCTCAGGATAGCTTGAAAGAAGAGGCAGAACTTGCCTTGTGCAGGGCATTGCTGAAGAATCAAGATTCACACACTTTGTTTTGAAAGGCTATCAGTATGAGTGTGTGTGCGTGTGTGTGCATGTGTGTATTTTAATTTGACTTTAAGTTCTGTTTTAAAGAGTAGAAGGCTATTTTCATTTTGATTGAGAATCCATGTATTCTCAGTTTGAATGAGAACCACTAATGACGCTGATGATGATGCCACAATACCTGTGCTCTTTGTCTCCTGTTGAAACGATCTTGAGGTGCACTTCCTGGACTGAGATAGGGTGATCTACCTGTAAGCATATGACTTCAGAGTGAAGAAAAAGGTGATCTGTCCTCCATATGTAAAGGGAGCATTTCCCAAAAGGAAAATGACCTCAAATTCTTTGCCTGTTTAGAAGATACTAGAAATGAAACAAAAATTCAAGAAATGTTTATATAGATGTGGGTAGAATTTACTGTGTGGGATTGTGTTTAAAAAAAACACTTTGAAAATTAATTAAACTTTGGTGATTATGTTTTTATAGGTATACCCGGAAAAATGATGGACAGGATAAGGAACATGAATTACATCTGGATCAGTCTCTTGAAATCAGGCAAATTAAATTTTCTTTTATATCTTCTTATATTTTTAATACCAGAGCACAAGCACACTAGACTTTTAAACACATTGTCTGTTTCTTTTAAATAATTATGTTTCTATTTTCTTTATTTCTATTGTTTCTATTGAATTTTTAAAATTAATATTTAAATAAATATATTCTTGGAATATCTTTAAGTATTTTTATTTTACAAGGTTTTTGCATGTATTTCCCATTGTCAGTATAAAATATCCTGAATTTATTGTTGTTGATTACTCCTTTTTTCTTTAATTACCTTGAGACTAAAAATATGTTTTAAAAACTTTTGTGTTATTTGAAATATTATTCTCAACTATAGACTGGTAGTTCTTATTGTTCTATGATTGTAGGTTCATTAGAGGATATTATGAACTTATAAAAAGTTTCCTTCTATTAATAACATGTACTAATGGAAATAATGTGTTTTCACATATTTCACAATATAACCAGTATATTCAGTAGTAAGCAGTTGTATTCTGTTTTTCTAATTGAATATTGTTCATATGCACACCTCCATTGCCATCCAAGTGAGTGGCCTTCTCTTTGAACGTTTATTTTTGTTTCCACTCTTTAGCTGTTACTAAAGTATTGCCATGAACAATTTTGTGTAGATCACTTTTTCCCTTTGTGTTATCTCCTTGTGAAATGTGTCAAAATAGAATTTCTGGTTCAAAGGATGGAGGGATGTTTTATAAAGTTTATTAGCGTTAATACAGCCAGGTTGTCCTCCCCCTACTCTCATGAAGATGGTGAACTGGCCACAGCACCTCACCTGTTTCTCAGTGTTCCCATCAAATTCTCACTGTTAATTTCATATCTTCTCGTGATCATTTGTAAAGCACAGAGAGCACACGTGAATCTGTGTATTGTGTAGCAAAATAGGAGGCAAGAAGTTACTCTAGAAGATGTTGTGCAAGTATATTTGTGGCATGATTTCAAAGCTAACCTTGCCGGAAGCCTTTGTAATCTCACTGGTTAAATTTTTTTCTTTAATATTTGCAGTGATACATTTACAAATGAGAAAATGAAAATAGAAGAGCGTATAAAGAAAGGGAAAGAGCATTATGAAGAGAGTCATCAAAGAGCTGTGGATGCAGAGGTGAGTCCATGACACTTGGTGACTGATGGCAATGGCGTTTGTCATTTGTTTTTGTGTTTCTTTAATTACATATGAGGTGTAACAAACATTACTGAAAAGTGTGGAGGGTCAGGGTCAGCGTCACCCATAATACTGCCTCCCTAAAACCACTCTTCCTTTGCCTATAGCTCTCTAATTTTTCACCCTGATGCTTATGTTGTTACATAGATGTACTCATAGGGTACACCAAATTTTGTAACCTGTTTTCCTTATTTAACATAACTCAATCATTTCCCATACTGTACACTTTGAATAGCTTCATCATATTTAATCAAGTGACGTACCATGAAGTAGCCAACAGTAAACATATCTGCCAATATTTGGAAAGGAACTTAAAAATAGTCTATTTACTAAAAATGTATTCCTCCCTCTCCCTAGAAGAATACATACCAATGTCAGTATAATATTTGAGAAACTACTGAGACAAAAATCAAAACAGTGACATCTGGCTATATTTTATTTAGTTCCTAAAACATGGTTGTCTTTTTTTTTTTTTTCCTAACTGAGCAACAAATGATATTTATTAGTATGTGTATCTATGATTATACTGGGAAAATAAGAAAAGGCTTAGTTTATGAGATCTGCAAACATTAAGCTTTTCAATTAAGACTCAACTATACAGCTGCTTCTAAGAAAAGGAAGGGAAAAAGAGCCAAAGTATGAATACTCCTACTCCTTCATCTGTATTCCTGAGCTTGTTTAGTTCACTTTTACCACCATTTGGTAAGCAGGTTTGCCTCATGGGCCCTGTCAAGGTCATGGACACCTGGATTAAGAGGCATCACCACAAGGATCATGTGCATTTAATGGATTGCTTGGATTATTAGGCCATTGTATATTTCCTACAGTGATTCTTAAAAAAATGGCCAGTTGGCTTGTGGGGAAGCCAGAGAGACTAAAATTTTGAAAGCATGCCCCAGAGGCTTTTGATGCCCCCCTGAGAATAACTTCGCTGAGGCTTTCCGATTGCAAAGGATGCAAAGGGTTATTCTGCTGGTCCCTGTCCCTCTGTTTACCCTGGGCAGGACCACTGATAATGCACATTGGTGTATACACGCAGTTAACCTGGCTCTGTGCTTGAATGTGGCTTAAGCAGAAAGCCATGTGCACAGTTTCATACCTGTGAAAAGGATTGGATAACGTACGTAATTATAGCGTCATTTTGTTGTTCTGTTTTCAAATCTCAGTTTGAATTTGTGTTCACTTGAGTTAAATTACAGCATAATCAAGTTGTGGTGATTCTGTCATCATACTTCATTTAAGGAGAAATTGGAATGTGGTTTGGAATGTTTAAATTTGAACCCTTAAAATGGTTTCAGGTTCTCATTTGTAAAATACTTATACGTCCTCTAATCTATTGGCAGATATCTGTTCTTGAAAACCGGAAGGAGAGCGAAATGTACAAGTTACAGATCATGGAGGCACAAGCGGAAGCCTATCTGAAGAACCTGGGGCTGATGAGGTAATGTGGCCTCACAGGTATTCATCTCAGCGTGTCATTTAGGAAATAAAGCTAGAGCCCTTGCAGAAAAATATTTTTTATATTAGATGGGACCATTTTATTTTTAATAGTACATGTTCGTTGTAGAAAAGTCAAAACATATAAACAAAAATGATAAATGGAGATATAACTAGTTAATATTTTGAAATAAATTCATTAAGTATTTGAAAAATGAAAATTTACATCTTTCTTCACTCAATAGTATCTAGGAAACTTACTTTCATATTGATAATTACATTTCTCCCACCTAATTTTGAAAGATTGAATAGTATTCCAGCACGTAAACATGTGATTTATCAAACACCACTGTGGTGGGATAGTTGAGTTGTTTACAAATTTTGTAGGTAACAAGCTGCACCGCAGTGGGCCTCCTTATAGTTAAATCTTCATACACATTATTAGTCATTTCCAAGCAACACATTTCTGGAAGGAAGATCACATTTTCAAGGCTTTTTACATTTTTTGCCAAATTGCTTTCCATAATAGCTATTATTTAACAGTCTTTGTGATAGAGTATGGGAATGTCACTACAAAGTATATTCATGTGTGTTAAATTTTTTCGGCTCTCCATATTATGTTTTTGTTTGTTTTGCTTTGTTTGTTAAAATAAAATTGACCTGGGAATCCTAGAGGGTCTTCCCCCTAGCATTTAGCACTTCCCTGTGCAGGTTTTCACATATGGGATCACTTCTCATCTGGTCCTTTTACCATGTTTCATATACAAGTTTTGCATCCTTCCTGGTGCTTGCTTTTTGATTCAAATTTTAAACCCTCAGAATTGAACCAAAGATTGTGTGGATCATGGAAAAATAGTTTTAGTGTAGAGTTTTTTATTTCTTCATTTTCAAGATTTAATTTTTTTTTATGAGAAAACTTTTCTGAAGGTAAACTAGTGTGCTGATTCATATTACAGGAATAGCGCAGCTGAAGTTGAGACAAGTGTTCACACGCCTATATTAAGCACTCACCGTGGGCTGCATTGTGGCTCATCTGGGAAACAAAAATATCTGAGACACATTGTCTCTAATTGTATCAACTGTCTTCCAGTAAGCCTTATAGTATACGTAGATTCTTTCTGGGGATGCCATGCTAACTCTGCTTGTTCCACCAAAGTGTAGCAAAATAGAAAAGGTGGAAAAAGAATGTTCTGGTTTTTCTTTAAGATTTTAATTTTTAAAATTTCTATAGTAGATATATTAGCAGTTTCCTATTTTTATACTTTTTCAGTGATTCTGCAGCATATCCCGACATAGAGTCTGATATACATTCATGGGAATTGTTTCTTTCTGATGTTACAGAAGAAATTGAGAAAGCAAAAGTAAGTTATAAAAAACATTTTATAATTCTGTCAAAATCTTTATGATGGTTATAATTCTCAGGAGGCTACTGTCTTATTGAAGCCATTTCTTTTTTGTAATGGCAATAATATATTTCTTGTGAAATTATAACAAATTTTTCATGGAAGTAATGATATTTTCTTAATTAACTATCTTAAACTCTGCCCTTGATTGATAAGATTGGAGAAGTTATGTTTGATGAGGCTGTAGAGCATTCTGATTAATGAGGTCTTATTTTAAACTTCTTTCCTTAGAAGACACTTAATGTTTCTTGGAAAATTGTTGACTATTTGTAATGCACAATAAGAAACAAAGTATTAATAGGCAGTTGTGTTTTCCCACACTTTCCCTTCTACCCACAGTCTCAGTTTGAAGAACAAATAAAGGCTATTAAAAGTGGTTCTCGGCTCTGTGAACTTTCTAAAGTGCAGATTTCTGAGCTTTCATTTCCTGCCTGTAACACAGTAAGTCTATCATTTTTTTTTTTTTAACCACAATTTCTTAACTGGCCAAAATGGTTATTTGTTGTTTTCTGGGAGTGGGGATGGGATGGATTAATTATTGCCTTAATGTTTTCATTATTGGTGCTACTGGTTAGCCTTTTAAGCTTTATAACATTCTTATATAAATAGTTTACTCTTTCTACATCCATGCGTGAGAACAGCACTGAGGGGAGCACACTGTTGCTGTGTATTTCCATCACTCTCGTTACCTTAGCTTGTCTCCTTTTCCGTATGTTGGGGTGTGTGTGAGTGGTATGTGTTCCTGCCTTTGAGCGAATAATCCAGGACTAGCAGTGCCCGTGATTCAAGCAGGCCCTCTTTGTTACCACTCTTGATTATACTCTTATTCCTGGATACTTAGGGGCATAAAACCAAAACCTAAAAATTGAGGTGTTTCCTCATCAATACGGAATAAAAACTGCCATACCTGAGACATACAGGGCTTTGTTGGTCTGGCATATCATATTTTACTTGTAGTTTGAGGTATTTGCTGAATCTTTTGAATAACAGTAATTGCCAAACCTTGTCTTTTTATTTTAAATATGCAGCTCAGTAAAGAAAATAATTAATTGTATTTTATGGGCTTTGCAATATATGGCTGAATCAATGTCACTTTATTGTATTCTGGAGTACATATTTCTTAGATTTGGACACAGAGCAGACGCTCAATAAATACTAAATTGAAATGAATTAGGCCCAAAGGAGATTAGACTATAAGAATTTAAAGAACTCTGTTGAAGAGTTGGTTAAAAATAGGTTTCAGAATGTTTCGGCAGGACAGTGACATCTTCTGGTTCCTAAAGACTGAGGAGACCGTTTCCTCAGCACTTGATTTGCAGCCTCTTGCTATCGCCAGACCTTTGCCTCGGCTGTTCCCCAGCCTGGAGCACCATCGTCACGTCACCTCTGCCTCCTGCCTCCCTCGAATGCCCAGCCCAGTCGGAGGCTGCCCTCTCGGCCCTCCCCCTGTGGCCCTCCGTCATGGTGCTAGCTGTCTTCAACTTCGAGGGCAGGCACCTCCGTTAGCCTGGTCTTGAGCATCTCTTTCTTGCCAGTGCCACGTACACTAAACATTCAAACATACTGTGAATTCGCCTGCAAACAATGAAATAAAGTAAAATTAGATGTGAAAAAGTGTGACCACCTTGAACTGAGCAAGATATTCTGTTGAATATTTTTTCTTTCCATTGAACTGAGTAGGAGATACTTTAGAATTAAATTAAAGGTCATTTCTCATTTATAGTTTATAACTGCT